AATAATTAATGTATAATAATATAATATTTGAGATGCATAATCAGTAAAAACCAAATATTTTGAATTTGGTGAAATATTGCTACATACAATGAAAGAAACTTCAAATATCTATCTCTACTTAAATTATTCAACAAAATTACTGGGTCGCTATAAAGTAGAAATTGTCTAAATTCTGTTGCTTTTCTTCGTTTCAGTTCATTTAAACTTCGCGATTTTTTATTAAATTCTAATGGCATGCACTTTGTACTACTTTGTACTACTCCCGTAGTATTCAATGACAATGGCATTTTTTTGTTTTCAGAGTGTAGAAGATAATGATATAATTATAGCAACTTACGTGACACCCTGTATATATCAGTATGTAAAGTACACAGCATTTCAAAAAGTTTGACACACGGACGTAGATAGAAAGATATAGTACAGAAGTCGTTAGTTTAGGACTGCTCTTAAAACGTAAAACGACAAAAATGACATCAAATGATTCGTTTCGGTTTAATATATACATTTTCTTAGCAGAATTTACTTTGTTTATGCGTTTTTTATTGTCCATACGATTTTTCCCATAGTATTCTGCACGTCTGGTTATCAGATGTTCGTGCATCGAAAGGGTACTTTACGAACCTCGGTTTATGACAGCCAAGTGACGGAATTCCGCAGCATAGTGGAGCATTTGCTCCAAAAACGCAACAAAAGTCATTTTATAAAAATATCTTCTCAATGAAAAATTTGTTCATTAATAGTTAATTGAACAAATAGGTTGTGAATTTTTGTATCATTTGTTCTTTTTGGACATGACGACATGACTACTAGAGGGATAGTTATAATTATGGACGCCCTGTAGCGACGCTGAAGCTTTGTTTGAGATAGCCAAACAAAAAGCTAAAAATAACTTACTTCAGAAAATAAAAATTTTTTCAATAACACTGTTTAACATGAATTTTAATCTGTACTAACCAGTGGATAATCCAAAAGACGAAATTTAGTTTTTGAAAAACATGAATTTTTGTAAAATAGCCCTATTTTGGGTAAAAAGAAGCATTCCGCGTAAAAGCTAAGAACTTATTCATCGAAATACATTTTTTACATTCCAAATTGTGCTGCATCCTCCAAATCTCGGCAATGTTAGTGGTGAACGCGGAAAACTTTTCCATCAAGATATATCTTATATGGAACAAAAATACAGCAATGCTCGCAGACTACTGCTAGACACTTCTAAAGGATACTAAAGGATACTAGAGACACAAGATACCAATGTCATACACATAATAATTCTTACACATCAAATATTTTTGCGATCGACATGTCTCACTTAATATACCAGATACAGTGAAAAAGAAAAACGGTATAACTTTTTTTTAAAACTAAACTAAATAACTTGAATTCTTTTTTAAAAAAGAAAGAAAGAACAACTAGCCTATTAGACAATGGCTACAATACGTTTTTTTAATTTTGTTGTTACTTGGTATGACAAAAAAAAATAAAAAAAACATGTTTTCCAACTTTTTTGTGTGCGTCTATAACGAAAATTAAAAAAATACCTTTCGTAGATCTCCGTAACTTGTATGCATGCAGAACATTTCATCGAATTCGGTTAATGCAGAGTCAAGTTATGAGCGTTGTGAAAGACTTAAAATAATACAGATTTCTGACAATTATTGGTCGAAAGTATGACTGCCATTTTCTGCCATAACTGCCGTCTTCGCGATCTCTAATTGTTTACATATTATATAGAATTGATTATAGATTTACAAATTTTCGTTATAGGCTCAGATAAAAAAGTTAAAAACGAGAGCTTTTTATCTTTTTGTTTGTCATTCCAAGGAATAGCAAAAATTATAAAAAGCATTTTAGTCATTGCCTAATAGACCAGTCCCTTTAACATTTATAAAAAAATTCAAGTTATTTAGCGCCGTTTTAAAGAAGTTACACCGGTTTAAAGAATGTCCATATATGCTTGCCCCCCACTGTAGTCCTTAGAATAGCTAGTATTGAAAAGACAAATCTTTCAGTTTCAAAATATACATAATTTAATACAATTAAAGAAATATAAATGTTAATCGCTATGAATTATAATTTTAATAAACTAAAATCGAATTTTATAATGTTTGCCAAAATAACTATTATAAAACTATTTTTCCTTTTTAGGTAAAAATTTGGTTTCAAAATCGACGTGCTAAAGAGAGGCGTGACTCCCGTAGTAATACGTAACAGCTTACTGTTAGCAACATATACGTATATGTATATATCGTAAAATATATACTACTAATTTTAATGTCATTGTAATATCTCTTTTTCAATAAAGTACTGCAATCATACACTGTAAATAAAAGTTTTATTTATAAAATTATAAAAGTTAAGCAATTAATGAACAAGTTGTATACGCATTGAGCAATTAATACCAATAAAAAACCGACAAACACAAAACGAAGACCAAAAGTGACTTTACTCTGAATGCGTTTACTTTTCTCCAATTCTAATGGAAAAACGCTTTACTTTATCATTAAAAATAAATATAAATTTTGAGTCAATTCAAGGAACATTCGCCTCGATGATTCTGGGATGAGTGCTGAGCGATCAACCACAGTCCTTTTACCAAAATGCATCCTGCTGTATTTAAAGATTCCTAACTTTCTAAACATGTGTCAACAAATGCGCCCCATAAAGTATCCGCATAACTTCGGGATGCCGGACACCATCTGGAATTTGTTCGTCGACAAGAACTACAACCTTAAGAGGCTACGCGAATCCATGATCCTACCATAAGTTGACCGAAAGCAAAATAGCATCTGGCTAATCTACCTTTGGTTCCTTTAAAAAATAAGCTGTTGTTAACATGCCTTTCCAATTGTTTTAAGAAATGTGAATTTTAATATGTTATGTAGAGTGATATTCTTAACAACTTTTTCCTTTGTAGAAAATGTTGCTCTAATTTAGTTCATGTGATATTTGTGAAAAAATGTTACTAGTACATTGAATTTCACTTATACATCCACGCGTATGCCTCTGTATGGTATCGTTACTCGTCAACTGTTTCCATATAACGAGTGAACTTATTGAAAAGGTACTTCTCCTCGACACATAAGTACACATTATTCTGAGACAAGCTGTCACCGAACGATAATTAACATATGCAGGACATCAAAGAGAAGGTGTAGTTGAAATTGGTTGGGGTTTGCGTTGAGTGGTTGCGGAAGGGATAGGAGGCGATACGCTTGCAATTACAATGTCCCATAAATCACGTGAATAACCCCAATCAAAACCCATGTGTTTATGTTCGTGATTGATCAGAAAATCGGTCGAGCCTTGAATATTTTTGCACGTGATCTACTAAAAAAACACTAACTTGAGGGATCACCTCCAAATGAAGGAAAAACAAAATAACTTCGCTTGCCAAACAGCGATATATTTTAACAACAAATAACAATGTCTAGATCGCTCTGAAAACTAAATACTACTAGCAGTAACTCGAAATATCAACTAGCAAAAGTCAAACGTGGTCTCGCAAACGCCTCGTATCAGTCTTGGATCAAACCAGTAAATATAATATCTTGTGTTAATGTAGCAAACATCTAACTCGGAGAACAGCGTGTCATTCACCAAGTCACCTCGGTTCTCCCCACTTTTCTTAACTAAGGGTGGGTGGTGGGGAAAATTGCCCAATCACGGCGGATCCAAGATGACACGAGAATTGTCCAAATCGCTCAGCGATTGGAATCTAGGAGGGCGAGTCACGAACGCGTGAAGGATGTCCAAAAACATCGAATAAATTTGGGAAATTTCCAACATCTGGAAACGATGACACGCTAAGAACCACGCCAGTGCCTACGTACTTAAACGCGCCGTGGACCCAAATGCTAGGAGTTAGATCCAAAACACATGGCCCCTGCTATAAGGTAATAATTGCTCCCCCTAATTTGTAGAAAACGAATTTTGTCGGCTCCCGCGCTTTAATAATAATAAACATGAAACGAGTTTCGACCTTTCTACTTAAAATGTGTTTATGTAATAAATGTAATAATGTAATTCACCTGAATGGCCACTCATATTGCAGCTCAAATATAAAAAAAGTATTCAGAAATATGAAAACGAATATGAGAAGAAACTCGTAACTTGTGCACGAAATTGTTACTTAAATTCGCACCAAAGCATTTTACACTTGACAAACAAAAACAGTAAAATGGTAGGCGTCGTAATCCCGCCCCAATGCCACGCTATGCTTGCGCGCATGTGTAGAACGTGGACACGGATGACTCACTTTCCCACTCTACTCCTATTTTCCTGGAAGAACGTCGTAAAACAGTCAGGCGTCTGGGAGCTCTGTCTCGGCTTACACTGTTGACCTGTTCGTACTCGCTGCCGTGCTGCGTTTCGTTCGAGCTCGCTGGTCGGACCAGTGTAGGTACTGCACTGGTAGGGATGTAATGCTTTTGAGGGAAAGTCAAGCAGACTTTCGGAATAGAGCGGTTGCACCAGTGTCCTCGGGAGTCTAGGTTGTGAGAAGATTCTCCAAAGCCAAAGACTCCCAGTGAATTTCTCGTGAGCTTTTTTGTATATTTCCCTTGCGTTTAATACAATACTTGAGTTTCTGATAACCTACAATAGGTGGTGTATATTGACTTCTATGTGCGTAGTTCTATATTGAATTTATTGCTTGTATAATTTATAGGATAAAAGTTTCAAATACCTACATGCTTTGTAGGCAAACAGATTTGGGTAGGTATGTTAGTGCTTGTCTTTGTTCAGCTCGGTGTCATACGGTAGTATATCATATGGCTGTATATCAGTCGGTGTACATATGGTAGCATGATTTGTTTGATAGTTCTCATTTTTGTTCTCATTGGAATGTTGATTAGATCATTTAGATCGTACGTGGTTTTTAAAGAATTTTGTATGTATTGTTCCACTCAGGATACGTTTATCTGTTTGTGGAGATCTTTTATATTAATGTGTCTGTCTTTATTTAGAATGATTCTAAGAAATTTATTTTGTACAATTTGCATTTTTTTATAGTGGGTTTTGCAAACTATGGTCCAGATTTAATGTCCATAAGTGAGAATTGTTCTAGCACATGCGAAGTATAGTGTTCTCTTTATTTTGATTTCTACAGGACTTTTATGGTTTATTAACGTGTATAGTAGTCTAAGGAGTGGGATGCTCTTTTTTATTCTGTCCTGTATAGCTTGGGCTCAATTGAGTTTGGCATCTAGGATTATACCTAAGTATTTGACTGTTTGATCATGAAATTGCATAGTTGTTAATTCTAATTTGTTTGCATTTAGATTTTATTTTCAGTCTTGAAAGTATTTGACAATGCTTAGAGATGTATATATTTTGCTTGTTGGGTTGCCAGGGTGAGACCAGGATTGCCGTATCATCTGCATAGATTGCTAATTGAGTTTTTGTATATATCATTTATGTACAGTAGCCCACAAAGGTTTTCGTACATCTTTTAAAACGTAATAACTTTTTCGAAACTGAACTAAATGACTTGAATTTTTTTTTAGATGATAAAAGAACTTGTCTACTAGATGTTGGCTAAAAATCTTTTTTTTTAAATTTTACTATTACTTGAAATGAAAAGAAAAAATTAAAAACCCCCGTTTCTTAACTTTTTTATCTGAGTCTATAATGAAAATGTAAAAAATGTCTTTCGTAGATCTCGGTAACTTACATGCATGTTGAAAATTTTATCGAAATCGAATCACGTTGTTATGAGTTACAACAAATTAAAGATTGCAAAAATCGTAGTTTTATTACGATTTTGACCAGAAACTGTAAGAAATTTGTAGTTTTTAAAATCCTTCAATGCCTGTAGCTTGACTCTGGGTTAATCGACTTTGATCAAATTTTCAGCACGCATATAAGTTACCGAGATCTACAAAAGGCATTTTTTAAATTTTCGTTATAGGCTCAAATAAAAAAGTTAAAAAACGAGGTTTTTTAATTTTTTCTTTTCATTCCAAATAATAGCAAAATTTAAAAAAAAGCTTTTTAGTAGATTAAGTCTAGTAGATTAATTCTTCTATTACAAAAAAAATTCAAGTCATTTAGTTCAGTTTTGAAAAAGTTATTGCGTTTTAAACGGTGTACAAACAATTTTGTAGGCCACTGTATGTACAAATCCGCTCTCATGAGCACTGGAAGGTAAAATATATGGTTTCAACATAACATCGCAGGACAAAAACATTATACACAATAAACATAGATGTCATCAAAATACATGGTACAAACAGAAACCTACAAATAGCTAGACCTCAAACAAAACGCGAAGATAGACCATAAAAGAGTTAAGATTCAACTAAGAAAACAATACGAAACATGATTAAAACAAATACTCACTTCAAAATTAAATAGCAAAAACACATATAAAACAGTAAATACATATGCAACGCCAGTCTGAACATACTCGTTCGGAATAATAAAATGTATATATAGACACACACAGTCGTAGAAGAACTCAATAGAATCACCAGACAACCACGACGAAATAAAAGAACCGCTACCCAAACGCATGTACACAGAGACTCTATCTACATACCTAAATAAATGGGAGGCAAGGGAGTAATAGACTTTAAATTACTACACGAAAAACAAATAACAATACTTAGACAATATGTATCGCATAGTCTGGGCAAATTTTATTTCAAATAGTAATAAAAAAATAATTATTAAAAATCATTTACTTCTGACCGTTATTTGAAAATAAAAATAGTATTGGTCAATTTGAGAAAGAGTTAACATTTTCAAATTATCCGATTTATGTATATTACACTTGTCTTTCTGATTGACAGATCAATCACAATTGTAGACAATATCGATCTACCCGTGGCAAGAAATATTTTCGAGAAACCTTATAATTTTCAGTATATTAAGAAAATATTGCACACTGCTGTTCACCAAAAGTCGAGTCAGAGGCGAGTTTTCGTCGAGTATCACGGCCAGGCCCGACCATAAATACAAGTCGACTCACACAAGATCGTACACCACTTGAAGTACTGTTCCAGTTCTGTACTGTTCTACATTTTTAATTTGACAGGGCTGTAAAATAAGTATCAACCTTTTTTCATCCTACGATCTTATTTTAAAAAAAGAGGTTTAAATTTTTCTCATTAATAAACAGTTTTTTTATCGATCTGTTTATTGTAATTTGTTGACATGTAATTAATGAGTAATTTTTTTTTTACTTTAGAGAGAAGTAATTAATTTTTTTCCAATCTTCCATATAATTATTTTCAATTTCCCACGCATAAGCAATAAACTGACAAGAATATTGTTCAAGTAAAAGTTACTCATTCTTTATATGACAAC